GCTGCTGGTTAGTGTGCTTCTTAATCCAGGTGTAGCTGGTGGTGATGAAGCTACAGCTTGTACGGTTGCTGCTGCTGCTGCTAGTGGTGGTAAGGGTAGTGGTGGTGGTGTCGAGATGGTTGTCATCAGCACCCTGCTGCGCTGCTTGGCAGCAGAGGAAGGCGCTCTGTGGTGCACCCAGCTCTGCCACAGGCGGCCCGTACGGCTCCGGCGCAGGCACGCGCTCTGGCGGGCTCAGGGCAAGCCCGCTGTACGAGGCGATCAGCCGCCTTCTCTCTGCTGATGGTAGCTTGTGGAGCCGCTTCAGGTGCTCGTCCAGGTTGTAGACTGCGTAGCAGTGCTCCTGGCAGACGAGCACTCCGTACAGAGGTAGGTAGGTAAACATTGTTAAGGGGTTAAGGGGGGGGGCTGCGCTCTTCTCCTCTTCTCCTCTTCCCTCCCTACACGTACAGGGGCGTTGCTCAGGTTTTTTTTATCTTCCTTTCACTCCCTCTGTTGCAACTGTAAGGCGCTGTACAGATCGCGCGCAGATGGCCCCGCGCAGATGGCCCTAGGCCTGGCGGGTTTTCGTGAGCTGAGGGCTAGCTAGCCAATCAGGGTTGCAGGGTTTGATTGCGCGCAGATAGCCCCGCGCAGATGGCCCTGGGCCTGGCGGGTTTTCGTGAGCTGAGGGCTAGCTAGCCAATCAGGGTTGCAGGGTTTGATTGCGCGCAGATGGCCCCGCGCAGATGGCCCTGGGCCTGGCGGGTTTTCGTGAGGCGAGGGCTAGCTAGCCAATCAGGGTTGCAGGGTTCGATCGCGCGCAGATGGCCCCGCGCAGATGGCCCTGGGCCTGGCGGGTTTTCGTGAGGCGAGGGCTAGCTAGCCAATCAGGTGGCAGGGTTCGCGCACAGATGCCCCCTCCGGGGCCATACGCGCAGCGGTTCATACAGAGAGAGATAGCAGAAGCGCTCTTGCACGTTGTTAATTGTTATCTTGCTTGCGCGTAGTCGCTTGCGGTGCTGCGTTGTAGTTATTATTGCGGGTGGCTGTGCGTTCTAGCAGAACTCCATGCCTAAGATAACCCTAAGCACAGCAATGCAAGCTAAGAAATGTAGAAACAAAAGTTGCAGCATAATAGAGTGTATAATTTTTAGCAGGTTTTGTATAGAACATGTTCCGCGAGTGGTGCAGCTTAGGGGTATAATTGGGGGTCAAAGACACAATGTTTGCCCCCTATCGCAGGCCCGATTCGGTTGCGCAACCCTAACGCTACACCCGTTTCAGCGATGATCGGGCCCGAGCATGCGCGTCATATAGGTTAGGGCTAGTGGCGCTCAGCAAGCAGAGAATTGGCCATATCCTCCACATCAGCAAGCCAGGGTGGGTATCCTCGCTTGTCTAGCTTCAATACATGTTGGAAAATCAAGTCCTCCTTAGTAACGTACTCTATCACTGAGCCAGTCATATCACCAAACCAGTCACTTAAAATCCCACCAAAAAACACAGAAACCATACCCCTGCATCTTAATAACTACTTAATAGAATCTTCTAAAAACTTCAGAATAGAGCTGCATCTATACTAATAAAACTATTTAAAAGTCTTAGACTAATAGCTAGTATAGATGTTGAGATAGCCTACAGCTACCCCTGTATTTTAGTATCTTCTAAACAACATCTGCAATATAGGGCTAAGCACTCTAAGACTTTTAAACAGTCTTATTAGTATAGATGCAGCTCTATTCTGAAGTTTTTAGAAGATTCTGTTAAGTAGTTATTGAGATGCAGGGGTATGGTTTCTGTGTTTTTTGGTGGGATTTTAAGTGACTAGTTTAGTGATATGACCAGCTCAGTGATAGAGTACGTTACTAGTTATCCTTATAATGTTAGGCTTGTAATTGCGTTGTGAAGAGGTTCTAGTAAGGTGTGTGCCTAGGGTGCTTTAAGAGACCTGGTATATTGCTGCAGCGCGTTGCATCCTTAGTGTCGCGTTTTGCTAGACAGCCTAGAGGGCAAGTTATATATCTGTTTTATTTAAAGGCTTTTTTACGTTGTTGCGTTGAGGCATTACAGGGAGAGTGAAGTTCGGTGTAGTCTTGGCAAAAGTGGCCAGCTCGCTTGGGTGGCCAGCTCGCTTGTGGAGTACGTTACTGTAACGGTTGAGAGGAGAATCAGATCACGTGTTGTTGGCGGTGGTCTGGTGCTACTTCCTCATGTTGTTGAGCACCTCTTACCTCAGCTGCATCACAAACACGTCATCAAAACAGACCCCGCAGCGAGCCTTGGAGAGAAAGGATACAAGCAACACAACACAGAACAACACAATACACTCGTCATATACATTTGCCCTTGATACCGCAACAGAATATTTAGGTTTGGTGTAACTACATTGCAGGTTCTGGTGTTTATGTTTTCATTGGCTAAGTCGCAGGGGATCTATCATGTGACAGGGGATCTATGCCAGCTCGTTCCGTCGGTGACGGGATGGAAGGAGCTGGGCAAATAAGGAGGGATCGGAGTGAGTCTTGACGCACTTGTACCTGTGGATAGGTATGAAGGTCTATCACGTTTAGCCATCGTGTCTGCGTTCCCACTCTAAAATTTACAAACATTTGATTCCACTGTGGCGACTCAAACTCCTCGGCATTATTCTTATAGACGCCTATGGGCCGAAAAACTGAAAAAGGTGCAGTAGCAACCTATCACACCACTATTACTGGACTCCAACGTGATGTCTGTGCCCAGCAGTTCAACACAGAGAATGAAATTCGGTTTTTGAACTCTCATCCATTATCACTTTGCTTTCGACCATCAGCCTTCTGCCCACCTACGTACAGTCTCTATCGTATTTACACTTGCATTGTCAGCTATTTATCCATCATTGCATACAGTATGGCGATTGCCAATGCACCTGCCAAGGTAACAATGTATGGACCGGCGGATACTCCAGCGGAGTGTGTATCTGATGAGGACGTATCTGAAGAAGATGCTCCTGTGGAAGAAGATGACCTCGTAGAGGAAGGCGATGTTGTGAATGACGACGATGCGTCTAAACTATCCTCGACCTCCAATGCGGATACATCATGGTCTGTTGAGTGATCTGTTTTGTCATCTATCGCAGGGTTAGAGGGACTGAAGCTGCAGTTTATTCAGCAAAAGACTCCTTACCAGCAGCTTTATATTGGTACCAGGCGCTCTGCCAATATCTTGGTGAGTAGTATGTGTTATACTCTACGGTCTGAATAGTGTAATTAGACCCAAGGGGCATGTTCGTCGCATTCAGCTGGAGGATATACGTTTTCTGCGTCTGCAATCGGACACTGGTGTACAGTCTCCAGCGATTTACTTCGTTTATCAAATCGATATAGTAATATTTGTTTTGTGCAGATTCAGGAAGGTTGCTGTACGAGACAAGAGAATTCCCGAAGACGTCTGGCACCACTTGGTTGGGATCTTGTGTTCTCTGGAGTTGGTAAACCGGATCCGGCTGTGATTGTGGTGGTGGTGGCTGAAAGGTCTTGGGAGGGGCCTTGAAACGTGGAGTTGGATCCTTAGTTGATTGCCCTGGCCAAGACGGGAGGGGACCGAGTGGGCCAGGTTTAGGTTTTGGAGCAACGGACACACCAATGACTAATTGAGCACTTCGTTAGGCCTTACTGATTTCATGGCTGTGATCTAGCAAGACAAATAGCTTTGACTTACCTGACGGTATCAAAAGCGCCGTAAAGAGAAGATTGTACAACTTCATCGCCACAAGCTGTTTGTTGTCGCAGCTCCAATCAAACAAAATCTTCCAGGACACACAGGCTACTGGTGTCGTCAAGATGAGCTAAAAAGATGGCTTGTGAGTTACAAGCTATGGCTTCACAGAAGAAACGACAGCAAAGTCTAAGGTATGACTATGGCTATTCAGAATACTTATAATACGATGAAAGAGATGTATGATGTGTGGTTGGCAGGGCTTGAAACTTACCGAACTGACTCCTTATACATCTTGAGAATGCGTTCAATGCTCAACAAGGATTAAACTTGACACAAGAGGCTGTCTCATCAAGTGGGGGATGTAGTTTTGTTGAGCGTTTGATTGGGTGCAGATATCACTGCCAAGAGAACTAGACTCGTATATGCCTGTAAGACGTTGCTACCCGAGAAGCAAAGATCCCCAAGACAGACAAGGCAAAGAAGGCAAATTTGACCTGACTAGCGTATTCAATCTATTTACAATGCCGTTGTTCCCACAAGAGAAAGATCAACCTATCACTCTTTCACCATCACCTCGACATAAGTCAGCGGAGAACGTCATGGGTTCCAGCTCCTCTAGGACGGCAGATGGAGTCGTTAGATACAGTCATCAGCAGCACCAGAACATGATACGCGAAAATGGATACCCGGTCTACATCCTCTACATCGACTTGCGAACGAGCGTTGGGGGCGGATTTCAGCCTCAAATGACCAGAGTATTGCGGAAGCTCGCCACAGAATGGGGAACTGCTGGAACAGCCATGCAGCATTGGGCAATCATGGTCGACGGTTTCGTCTATGAGCTCGCAAGGAAGCCTGACAAGGACAAAACGATTGATGCAGGAATGGAGAGGAATTCTAATTTCAGGATGCCCACAGCCATTCCTTATCGCGATTGGGAGACTGAAAGACAGGTAAAGAAGGTCACGTGGAGAAAGTATTATTACACCAGGAAGACCAAACCCCAGATTACAAGAATCGGTATGACCCTTCCCTCGTTCCATATGCTTACTCTATTCCTGACTTGTGCTCGCCAGCCCAAGACGTAGCCAGGGAGATGCAAAGGTATAATGCACTGGAGTACAACTGTCAGCACTTCGTGACGAAGTTGTATGATAGACTGGGATGTGGATATGATACGACAGCTGGATGGGCCCCAACGTCTTCGGAAATTTTGCCAAGGCAGATGCCAATCGTGGCGGAGATGGCGGGGAACGTCACGGACAACATTCTTTCAATAGCATTGTCCAGCGTTATTACTCTACTGACCCTTGTACAAATCTGAACACAGCTGCGTCAGCTTCACCATATGTGTCAGTCGCGATAGAGGACCTGCCCATTTCGTAATGTGATCTGCGTGTGTTGAGTAATTACTTTGGAGGTCGTCAGACGTGATTACAGCGTTCATTGGCTAAGGAATGTTATCCATCCCTGAATCCCTAGATATGTCTGCAGTAAGCTGAAGGAAGAACTTGAAATCTGAATCGCAAGGCAGACTCTTCGCCAACAGTGTATCGCAACATATAAATGTGGTGTGCAGATCCAGTCTAGGCGCAAGCCACATACCCAGCCATGCAATATAACTGTCCAATCATAGTACATCAACTAGGTTCTGGAGGTGTGTGGTTGCAAGGCTGAAACGCGGGAACTTTGACCAAAGTGCGGAGCCTACAACTTGACGTGACCCGAGACAGCGTACTCACCAGGTCAAGACGGAATACTGACCAGGTCCAGATGGAAGTAAGGCTCGACAGATCAAGAGCTCGTTCTTGAGTCGTTGGTGATAAGCACGAACATTTTCACTTGGTGGAGTGTTTCGTCTGCCTTATTGCAATAATGAACAAGACCTTAGCGGCTGGTCTGCTAGATAGCCAGGCCACCTTTGGCTGGTTACCGGCTTCTCGAGCATCTATTGGCTCAAGCAGATGGAGCATTGGGACAACCACTGGTCTATGATGCACTCAGATATTCTGGGCTGAACGCATGCACGCCACCCTCCTTTTCTCTTGCATGTATCATTACAAGGTAGTTCTCTTACTCGTGCGCGCATAATAACAAAGTTGATCATTGAAAGAGGGGGCTTTGCAGGTTTCTTGTAATCCTTTAAGCCATTTGGGGGCCATTATGCAGACTATTGGGGGCCATGTGGGATCCTTGGGTCTGTGTAACCCCTTAGTGGCTATGCATACTCCTAGATCCATAGACCTAGCATCTGGGCTTCGAAGCGACCCGTCATATACACTGCCGCTTGTAACAAGCCAATCCGTTTCCTGTACATCTCGGAAGATGCTTGTTTCTCTGATTCTTAACTTGCTCACCTTGAGCTACTCTGGTGCTCTCAAATACCATACAACAGATCCTATCAAGTTTGTGGAAAACAATTATTATTATGAACGCCAGAAGGAGGATGTCATGCAGGCCTTAGCGCACTTCCGTCACCTAAAGCAGGAAGAGCTTCGATTTGTGAGCACTGCGGTATGTAAGCCCCTTTGAGCAAAGTAAATCTGAAGAACAATGCTGATATTATTGCCACGGACAGGCGTCGTTGTCAGGCCTTGCTGTGCTAGGCATTTTCTCATGGCCGGAAACTGAGAGCACAATTTGGGTCGCCAGAATGCTGTGGCACTGGAGTTTCATGCTGTCCATATTCGCACTCATCAGCTCCGCCCATCAGCGGCTACTTCGGCACCTACCCAGTGACAAGTTCCAGGATTTTGACGACGACAAGATCAAGCTGGCTCTGAATTTGTTCCTATCTCCTCCAGTTTATCCCAAGCTACCAAACAGAAATGGTCCGGGGCAGTATACGCGCCAAGCCAGCTTGAGAATGATCTGGATGTGGCAGTGTCCGGTAATGCTGATGAGCTACTCCTGGGTCCTGTTTCTAGTCGGATACGGGCTACATATGTTGAAGCCTGTCTTTCACCCTTCACAGGCAGAAGTCTCCAAAGCGGTGCGTCATCAAGAAGTCCTTCTTGATTCGATTGTGAATAGCAGCTCATGCAAACAGCAGGTCGCAATTGTTACCCTAAGCGGATGTTTGGTAGTTGTTGCGAACTTTATTTTCTGTGCTTCATTATGTCAGATACGCCTGGAGACACCGTCCAAACCAGCTGCAGATTAGTCTTCATGTGCAGGTAATCTAGTCATTGCATGTTTCTACAGTTTTGAAATCGTTCCATCCATTTTTGTGTGACAAAAGGCTGGGCGGGGATATTCGAGCTGTCATCTCAGTTGATGCATGCCCCTGAGTCGTGCAGAAGGGAGGACAGCTACCGGTACCGTGCACGGACACCGGGTGGGCCGGGTCACCAGGTGGGCCACCCCACCAACTTTGTCACCACATTTGACCCCCCCTCCACAACGTCACCACGATGTCGTTACAGGCTGCTCTTTCATACATAGACTCTTTAAAACCAGGAGAATCTTTTTCGTATAGATAGTTAGCTAAGAAATACTATATTTCCCACACTACTTTAACTAACCACCACCAATGTCAGAGAAGGACTAATAAAGATGCCCACAAAGATTAACGTCTCCTCCACCCACGCGATAAGGCTGAGCTTGTAAAATACATTAAAAGCTTCACAGAGACTCACTGCCCACCTACACAGCAGATAATAATTAATTTCACAACCCCCTTGTGCAGTTAGGAGCCCTCAGATTAGTAGGTTTCCAGGCTTATTCACCATCACCCTAATAACCTCACTACTGCCTAGACCACCCCTATAGAAAGCACGCGTTATGCAGCTAATAACTGTGAAAGATATTATCTATACTTTAATCTTTTAACTAAAAAAGTTAAGGAATTTAACGTTCTCCCTAAGAACACCTACAATATAGACAAGAAGGGATTTATGATTAGGGTTATTAGAAAGACTAAAAGAGTCTTTGATAAGGCTCTCCACAAGGAGCGTCGATATAAGCAAGCATCTCACGATGGCAACAGGGAGTGGGTGACGGTTATAGGCGCGATTTGTGCCGACGGATCTCACCCCCCCCCTGCCGTAATCTATCCCGCGGCCAGTGAGAAAGTACAGGCTAACTGGGTGCACGATATCAATCCAGATACTCACGATCTACGATTCTCAGTATCCCCAAGTGGCTGGACGAACAACGATCTTGGTGTTGCCTGGCTGCAGCAGGTGTTTGATCCCATTACCTTAAAAAAAGCTTAGAGAAAGTTCAGATTACTTGTTCTTGACGGCCACGGCAGCCACGTGACGAAGGCCTTCATCGATTACTGTGATCTCTATCGAATTCTGGTGCTGGTTTACCCCCCGCACGCCACCTATACGCTGCAACCCCTAGATGTCTCATGCTTTAAGCCCCTGAGCCAATCTTACTCAAATAAGCTTATATATCATAACCACAACACTAAAGGATGGCTCCCCACGGGTAAGGCAGACTTCATAAGCCTCTTCTAGCCTGCCTAGGTTAACACCTTTACCAAATTGTTAATACTCTAAGCCTTTAAAGTCACAGGTATATACCTACTTTACCTACCCCGAACACCAATCTTTCGATTTTTGGGTTACCCTCCTGGGAGCCCTAAAAATCACAGCACCTGAACAAGCTCGCCGCGCCGTTTCCAGGCGTGCCTCTAACGTCCACCTAGGCCCCCGCGCTGACGCGCAGAGGAGCCTACTAGGATGGCAGAGTCACCCTCTTCTCGCCACACAGGGTCCCCAGACCCGGTGATCCCCCAGCAGCTCTATACACGCGCCTCAAGACAGCCTCAGGCGGACTTGCATCACCCTGCACCCCCTCTGAGTAGCCAAAACCCCGGTGGGGGCGCTCCTAAACCCTGTGCCTTTGATGCTGTTCAACGCCACATCAACGAAACTCAGAAAATTGCCCAGCTCTG